GCTCTATACATTACGCAATTTGTGACAAAAAGATTTATATATATATATATATATATATATATATGCGACTGTACAGCTCGAGAATGATATCGCCGAAAAGAGTAACTCATCCCTGACTGCCTTTTATTTCATATGACTCAATAAAGATTTTAAAATAACAATAACTCTTCCATTCTTATGGACATATAACTGTAGAACATGATGAAAAAGTCACCGAAAAGAAATATTCTTTGTTCACGACTAACTCGTCATCCAAAAATATTGATCGAATAAAATTCGATACACATTTTCCATCATGTCTAATATCATTCGAGATTGTAATGCCCTTACTAGATATGAATGCAAAAAATGTTGACGGTAAATTCACTGACAAAGCATTCGCATCGATATATACTATGAAAATGAAAACAAGGTGTTCAAAATAATAAAAAAATCATTCAGTATATTATGTTTTGATCTCTTTTAACATAGAATAGTTTGCAATACATATATACACACAACATTTAGTGAAATTAAAATACACGATTAGCTGTGACGTGCAAAGAAAGAATAATGAAGATTGAGGAGATTAAATGAAGTGCATACAACTAGATAATGAATAGGGGCATCTCAAATATTGAGTAAAGAAAGATTTCCAGTATTTGTGAAATTCGGTTACAATATAACTTTTGTAATCGAAAGAGTAAGAAGTAAGCACAATGATACTGAACTCAATGCGGCACCATAAGTCGCTATCGAATACAACTGTCTTCTCTGACTACGTTTGACTTCATTAACCCACGAGTATCAAGCAGACACAGATTGGTCTATGTCTGGAAGGACAGTTTTATTGGACAAAAATACATCATTGATTTGATGATATTAGATGGGTCGAGGCAATCGGCCACAGGAAGCCTTGGATGTAGGTTTCTTGGTATCTGGCACTCGTCAGCAAGACATATCTGCAACCTTGAAGGAGTTCATGTCCTTTCTGAGATTCACACCCACGTCATTCAGTGCTGCGGTCAGAGACTTTACCACTGAGCTATTCGGGCTCGCGATTGACCCACTTCCTGTAGGACTGTACTTTGATTGGGCACTAGTAACTAGTATGATGTGTCTAGTCCTTTGTTTCGTGCAGACTGAATTCTATAACATTTATACATTTCCACACACGCACACAAAATGAGGTTGAGTTAATGATGAAACTTATTCAGGCTGGTTGTATGAGGCATCAAATTACTCAATAAAATTATCTCATTCATATAAAACAGAAATCAAAATTATAAAAAAAGAAATTTTTTAATTCATATCAATAATCCCCATCCAGGTATTAATGAAAAGAATTAAACAGAAAGATAGTGTGACTAATTTCCTACTACCATGGAAACCATAATTATTTTGTTCTTGTGCACTTTCGTTCGGTTGTGTAACGTCCCATTTGATTTTTATTTCTATTCGGTTGAAATCACCTAGTTACTTTTCAAATTTACTTAACTGTTTTGCCTATGTTATAAGTTTACTTTACTATCCACTCCTATCCTCTTGAACTTTCCATCATTATATACATATTCACTGTTGTTCCTTCCTTTTATCCAGACAAAAGCTCAACTCTGACCCCATCGACTTGTCTGATTATACCATAAATAGTTAACTCATGGAAAATTCCCATTGTAACATAGAGAAAATCAAAACAAGTGATTCAGCGAAGAGACTCTTTTCAACGAATTTATCATCAAGCTGTACAGTTGTATATATATTTTTTTTTAAGAAGTTATATCCGGTGAGGGAATTGAATCTTAGGTGTGAATGCATAAAATAATAGTAATAATAATATGAAGTTCAATTAAAACTAAAATGTTTGTGATTATAATCGTAGTTAAATGTCAAGTGGCAAAGCAAATTAATGTCATATATAGAATAATTCATAGGAGGGATAGAACTTGAAAATGGGTGTGCAATTATAGGATTAGTAGACAAATCGAATAAAACGAAAAACGTTACGTAATATTGTGTGAAATTTAATAGTATAGAATTTATCGTTGTGAAAAAGAATTGATTTAGAATGACAAGTGGATTTCCAATGCTTCAAATCTACCATTACGGACTCCTGCAATCAATACCTTAATGCTAGACCAAAAATGCAGTCTTCTGACTAAACAGCACACAAAGAAGAACTTAAACTTTTGACGCATAACAGAGATATACTAATAACACACCCTGACAAGGGTACAGGTGTTGTTATTATGGATCGTAAAGATTATATCGATAAAATGTCATGTCTACTTTCAGACAACAGTAAATTCTCGAAACCGAACGAGAAAAACAAGACGGAATTAATTGAGAAACAACTTACCGATACTTTGAAGAGAATGAAGAACAATCATCTCATTCGTGAAGAATTATACGAAAAGATCAGACCAACACGATCTCCAATACCAAGACTGTATGGTCTACCGAAAATACACAAAGCTGGAGTTCCACTTCGCCCTATCTTGGATGTGTCTGGATCGCCCTATCATCCCGTAGCTGGATGGTTGGCTGAAATCCTCGAACCAGTCAGGGGCAACTATCTAATCATTCCCTCCGGGACACCTTCCAATTTGTTGAATGTATACAGGATATAAATGCGTCGAATAGACAAATGTTGTCTTTGGGTGTAGAATCCTTATTTACGAACGTTCCACTGACAGAGACCATATGTTTTATATGCAAATATATTGAAGACAACAATTTGAATATAGGGATACCCACTACAGATCTTAAAGAACTACTTTTGATATGTACATTGAATGTACAGTTTACTTTCAATGAGACAATCTACAGGCAGAAGGATGGTATTGCGATGGGTTCTCCCTTGGGCCCTCTCCTTTTATGTCCAGTCTAGAAAATGGTTTCCTGAAGCCTATAATCCAAAGCTTTCAAATGTATAAAAGGTATGTAGATGTAGGAGGACCGATGGAACTCTGAAGAGATCGATTTATCGTAAGCTGTTATGGAATGGTCAACTGACAAATTTCTACAGCTGGGTACCCATTGGTCGAAAACGAAACCTGGTCCGGTCGCTTGCCACTCGTATTCGACGCATATGTAGCACTGATACTGTGGAAGATGAGTTATACACTTTGAGGAAAATCCTAATGGAAAATGGATTTCCACCACGTTTTATAGATAAGAATATAAATTCAAAGCCTACAAAACGTGACTTATCAACCGCTCCCAAGAAAATACTTTACATGAGCTTAGAATTCAAAGGGGACTTAGCTTCCGATATCATGAAACGAAGGATATCACAGTCCCTGAAAAGAACATTCCCTGCTGCATCTCTGAGAATAGCCTTTACTAGCCGACCATTATTGTTCAATAACCTGAAGGACAAGATCCCAATGTTGACCAACTCTATGTGCGTTTATCAATTCACCTGCTCTTGTGGAGCTAGGTATATCGGTCGTTCGACTCGAGTTTTGTCCAAGAGGGTGCAAGAACATTATCCTGCATGGCTACGAAAAGGTGGAAGTGGAGCAATAAGAAGCGCGATCATTGAACATCTGGTCGATAATGATCACCCTATCTCTATAGCCTCCGCCTTTAAAGTCATCTACAAGGCAAAGAGCAATCTGCCCAAATCCCTACGTACCCGACTCATCTGTATTGCTGAAGCTCTGGCTATCGAAACAGAAAAGCCAGATCTCTGTGTACATAAAAAGTTCGTTCAACCCCTCCAACTTTCATGGTCTTAATCCCTCTATGCTAAAATATGGTAACACCCAATAATATTTTAGCTCTACCAATTTTTCATTTTGTCTTTTCGATTTGTATACTCTTCCTTATTAAGTCAATTGTTATTATTACTATTCTCACTTTGAACTGTCCCCGGTATTATTTCACTTGTCATTCTAAATCAATTCTTTTTCACAACGATAAATTCTATGCTATTAAATTTCACACAATATTACGTAACGTTTTTGTTTTATTCGATTTGCCTACTAATCCTATAATTGCACACCCATTTTCAAGTTCTATCCCTCCTATGAATTATTCTATATATGACATTAATTTGCTTTGCCACTTGACATTTAACTACGATTATAATCACAAACATTTTAGTTTTAATTGAACTTCATATATTATTATTATTATTTTATACATTCACACCTAAGATTCAATTCCCTCACCGGATAAAACTTCTTAAAAAAACATATATATACAACTGTACAGCTTGATGATAAATTCGTTGAAAAGAGTCTCTTCGCTGAATCACTTGTTTTGATTTTCTATATGTTACAATGGGAATTTTCCATGAATAGTAATAGTAACAATTGACGCAATAAGGAAGAGTATGGCTGTTTGGCTTCCGTCATTTTTAGTGGACACAGAGTGGAGAGGAAGTGAAGAGCTATCAAGTCATCAACGATCTGCAGTAATTTTTGATACTTAAGCATAAAAGAGCCTTAAATAACTAAAGATACTGATCATCAACTAATCACAATCATATCACATGTATTTACTCATATTTTTTACACTGCAAACAAAATGATGGATTATATTTGCGAAGCTTACAGTGAAGATTACCAACATATATACAAACAGAGTCATTCATGACTTGAATTGTCCATTGTTGAAATCTGTGACTTAGTCTATCGGTGATGAAAATTTGGATCTCCAATATGAGTGGTAGCAACGCAGCAAACATAATTTGATCAGGTACACACACAATCTAAACTCAAAGTATCATACTCATTTGACTCTATTCATTCTAGTACCATTCAAAGCATATTAAAATATTTAACTAGTGAATAGTGACTAGCAGTGGTATCCAGGATGCACATTTCGTCCTATTTTGAACTTGTTAGCTAGATGTGCAGGCACTTCCCAGTGGGTGATGATGTCCCCATCGAAGCTCACATTATAATATTCCTACACGCCTGGTTTCTATAAACAAAAAAACATTGTTCAGCAATAGGTCTGTGAGCATAAAGCACATATAGACAAACATCAATCGAAAAGTACTCCTTTACTGCTCGTATCTGTACAATAAATACTTATAATTGAATGGATTTGTTCGTTGAACTTTATTAGGGATTATGGATTTTACAATTGAACACATTGGATAATAGGAATTATTAAAAACACAGTCGCAGTGAAGAAAATTTTCTTTTCAACGAAGTCATCAACTAGGCCGTACAACATTCGTGTATTTATATTACATATGTGAAAAAGTTCCAGAATTATTTCCGATCAGAGGTGTCAGATTATTAAGTTTACTATGTGTAACAAACAGAAAATCAGTAGTGGCAGTATTTTAGAAATATTTCAGGTCAAAGTAAAAATTCCATTGTATAGTAATCAGAAAAATCAGGTAGAAAAGACAAAATAGGATTATAATTACTGGAAAACTCGTCAGGTTTGTGTAATTACGGGTTAAGGACGTAGTATATTAACGAAATGGGTAGGAGGTTCGGACAGATAAAGATAAAAGCAGTAACCAAATCTAATAATGCTGATAGGGATTTGAAAAGGTTAATGTAACAAACAAACAGGGAAGTTGGGATAAGAAAGGTAAAAGGACAATCATTATTGATAGGACTGAATTTTCATGATGACCACGAGAGGCACAACGGTTGGAGATATTTCTTTTGAATATATGACGTGAGCTTGAACTTTTGGATCCCCAGTGCCTCAGCTATTCCTAGATGCCTTGATTTCACTCCTTTTAATAGGTTTGATCGGATCTTGTATACAGGGCTTTTCAAATGGGGCTGAATGTCCTGAATTCAACAGATGTTCTGTTATCGAACTGTATACCCCCTTTGCGCTCTCCCTTTGCTAACCATACTGGATAGTATTCCCGCGCGTGTTTTACAAGCAGACGCATGGAGCGGCGAAAGTACTCAGCTTCACACGAACAAGTGAACTTGTATGTGTGTGGTGTGAGCTGTCTGCAAGCCGAAATTGTAGACAACAATTTACGTCAATGTCCATGCCCCGAATCAGGGTCATGATAAAAATAATAACAAAGTTTAACCTTGAGAAAATCACCAGCCAATCACAGTGGAGTTAAAGTGTGGAAATATGATTCATAGATATATGACTTGATTTTCTGAGAAACGGCCACAAAGAGATAACAGAATAACGTTCAGCAAGAAAACAACCAATCAGAAGAAGTTGCTCCATTTTTAACAATAACGCCAATAATAATGCACATAAAAATCTATAAATGCCTCTTGATTTTCTCAATAAACGATCTGTTTCCTGGCCCTTGTCTTCCTTCGTTACATATGCATGTTGAAGTGGTCCAATGCGATAGTTTGTCTTTCATGTGCTGAGTGAGTAGTTTCTTGCAAGAGAATGTTACCCATAGGCTGGCGGCGAAGTATGTTTTACTAAGAGAATTCGGAAACCGTCTACGGAGAATTTCTGCTTCGGTATCACTTTTAAATTCGAGGTTAATTATCAACATCCCTATCAGCATTATTAGATTTGGTTACTGCTTTTAACTTTATCTGTCCGAACCTCCTACCCATTTCGTTAATGTACTACGTCCTTAACCCGTAATTATACAAACTGAGTTTTTAAATAATTATAATCCTATCTTTTCTTTTCTATGCGACCTTCCTGATTGCTACACATTGGAACTTTTAATTAGACCTTTGACCTGAAATATTTCTAGAATAGTGCCAATTCCTACCTTCCGCTTATTGCACTTAGTAATTTTATTAATCTGACCGGACATAATTCTGGAACTTTCTCACACATGTAATATAAATACACGAATATCAAGCCTAGTTGATGACTTCGTCGAAAAGAAAATCTTCTTCTCTGAAACCGTCTTTTTAATAATTAAACACAACCATGACAGCAGTAATAGTAAGCAAACAATGGGGATAAGATATGTTGACAAAAATATTAAAGAAAAACAAAACAAACAACACCCAATTGAAACAGACAGATATTTACTACACAGGCATAGAATATTAAATATACGGTTAAGAAATAACAAGATTCCATGAAACGTTGATTACATGATGCACACTGTTTTCTGATTGCGAAATAATGAGCGAAAAGCAGAGTGGTAAACAAGCTTGAAACATAATAGAATTAGTGCTTACTTCAAATAAACTACATTCTAAAATCTAAGCATACAATAGGCTGAAAGTCAGAAGCACACAATCATGTTCAATGTATACACACAGATTCAAATACAGTAAAACAAAATAAAATATAATCCAATAAAGTTAATGCGCAAAAAAAGATGCGATTTCTTATTAGACAATCTGAAGAAGAGACATTTTTGTGCGGAGAAGGATAAGATAATATTCACTGCTTACATGTGAATGAATATTTGAATTGAACAAGCAACAAGCGCCATAATTGAAAATTTCAATGTTCAATAGAAGAAATTGATATTTGTTCGAGTAAAGAGTAATGAATTTTGAAAAAATTTCATTGGTGTACGCAACCAAAAGGAAACCTAATATAGAGTGTCATTTAAAACATAAATATACATATCACAACTTCCATGATCTTAACACACACATACACACACCCACGCAATGAAAAATATACCACGTTAAGGAGAGAAGAAAAAGCAGGATACATTATTAATTAAGAATTAGAGCTAGTTATCTGTAATTCATTTTCAGACAAATGCCTCGGATCACTGGTGGAATGAATCTGAAATCAAACAAAAACAGGAGAGAATATCATGAATGATTAACATTTTCATGGAATAAAAGAAGGAAGTAGAGGCAAAGTTAAAGTATAAAAGCTACTCCCAATCAACCTCACTACTAACCTAGAACAAGTGATCAGAGTTAAGCATCAGTAAAAGTCTTCAAGGAGTCGGTGGCATAGCGGTTAGGACGCTCGCCGACCATGCACATGGTCCGGGGTTCGATCCCCGGCCGACGCGCTCCTTTACCTCGCTGAACCAGAAATAAAGCTGGTAAAGAGGAAAGGTTGGGCATGAGGCTGGCAACCCCATCCTGTACAAATAAACACTGCTACAGAAACTTCAAGCCTCCAGCTTGAAGCCCTATGTTCCACTGGGAACGTGAAGGAAAAATTATTTATTTATAAAAGTCTTCAAACTATTTAAAAAAAATATGATTATAGATCAGGGTGTCCTGCGATCCGTACATGTATTTCTGAGAAAAGTTAAACTATAATAGCCAAAACAACAGTGACCTTGAACAATTAATCAGAATTCAGACACAAAAAAGTCGCATAATCATTGAAAAATGCACTAAATGCACACATTACAAACATAATATTATAACACTACATAGTTGTCGCTTATGTGTTGTAAGAATTTCTCCCAATCACTACACAGATAATCTATAGAGAAATAGAACCATGCGCGATACACCCATTCATCCAGTTGACTGCAGGTCATGGTACTTTGAGATCTATTGACATTTCTGAAACTGTTCTTTGACCTACTCCTGACTATCACCCTAATCCTAACCTTAACTCTAGGCACTAAACCCTAGTCTAAAAAGGCATAACCCCACCTAACACTATAGGTTCACATAAAAAGTATCTACAGAATAAGTGGAATATTTTAACCACAGTCCAGATAGTCAAGTGTGATTTGATTTGGAATGAACTTTCATAGCACTCCCTGTATCTAAGTGGTTCTTGGAGGTCAACTCTTGAAATAACTTGGTCTTGGCTATAATACTATAACTTCGCCTGTTTCTGATTCTGTTCTTTAATTTATCCCAAAATTTCACTCCTCCCTAAAGACCAATTATCTTTTCAAGCTTCCTCCACATATGTCTGTTTTTGTAACGCAAATTAACCTATTGTTAACCAAGTAATAAAACGCTTAATCCTCCTGAAACTCAATGAGCAAATTCAGAAGGGAAGGGCTTATTTGGATTTGGTTATACCTCTCGTATCTCTAACTAGTTTTCGAAAGTCATGTGCCGGAGTGATTGATATAGTTTAACTTCCTTGAAATAAATGGATAGAACTTACTCAACTGTTCACACTAAGGTTGCTTACAATATTTATGTTATTTATTTAAATATTAGAACGTAAGCCATCCGGAATAGATTATTTATGTATCAGGCAATGAATCGGACTCATTGTGTGAAGGCTCCAGTTGTCCGGGTTGAAATAGGCCGAAAGGCAATCAAATCCTGGAGCCTTTAGCTGAAACCTGAGTGCTTTATCAACAGTTGCCTTTGCTCTATACCCAAGATAAAATAGTCAGAAAGGATAAACAGCGAAGAACACTGACAGCCAGCAAACCAACCAACAACTTATTGTCTAACAAACACGTTACAGAAAATGGAAGTGTATTGGACAAATACTGAGTAGGCCGCTGAGTGACATAACACACCGTATAGGCATTCGAGTAGAACGCGAATGGAAGGTGACGAGTTTGGAATGGTCCGGAGGTGAAATGAAGGAGATGAGAGCTTATATGAGAATGCGGAGCCGTCTAAAGAGACGATAGAAAACAGGATGTGCTGTTGAAGCCCTATGTATAACTCAGAACCCAAGGGACTAATAGTAATAATAAAAATAAAGAACGAAAGCTTGGAGAGAAAAAAGGGAATTTTCAAGTATTGATTTTGTAGGGATTTTGTTTGATTGGTTGGAAGATTTCGTCATGAGCTGAAATCATTTAGAGAACCATTAAAAAACCAACAAGGAGTACTGGACAGCTGTTTCGTCCCAGTTCGGGGCTCTTCAGTAGTACTCACCCACCGGGATGTCAACTGACGGTGTACTTTGCGACAACTTCGTCATCTTTTATAGACTTCAGATACTCTTTTATCTGAGGATACTGAACTCAACTCATCGATTAAATGAATATATATATATATATATATATACGAAGAATACCCTTAGTTTTATGTATACATATTTTGAAGCAATTCAGTAATAAAATGTAGTTTTCTTAGTAACTAGCGTGCAATCTATAGGTATCATGTGAAGTCTGATACTATCACCTAGATGCTGCTGGATCAATAGATTCAGCCCGAATGTCTAGCGTAGTTTCGTCACATTCAATATAGCTTTGACTCAAAGTTTTTTACAGTCGCAAAAAGAATATACTGTGAAACTATCGTATTAACTAATCAAAATGTTTGTAAAGCAGAATATGACAATAGCAGAAGAGTCAATAGTTTAACTATGAAACCCAAAAAAGAATTGCAAAACTAAATAGAGAAGAGTAGCATATTTTGTTACTCTACAGAAAGATTAAACTATCAAAATACTCAATCAAAATTCTAAAGAACAATATAGACAATAAGAGGATAGGGTGTTTTAGAATCCAACTTAGGAATAAAGAAACCCTCATCTATTCAATATGAGGGAGATAACTGCTTCGAAAATATATTTCATTATCAGTCGAAGTGCGTCGGTGGCACAGTGGTTAGGACTCTTGTCGACCATGCACATGGTCCGAGGTTCGATCCCCTGCCGACGCACACCTGATATCTATGGTCGGCCTGCGAAATTCGGGCTACCGATATCACATGCTGAAAATTCCATACTTGTACGAAAAATACGGTGTGGAATCAAGCTGTAATAAAAAAAACCAAAAAAAGTGCTACATGCAATCATCGAAAACCAAAGTCTAATTCAAACTCCTTAGCAGTGGGAACCAAAGACTCTACAAGAGATCGATCTCGGCACAATCAACTTATGATGCCAATAAACCATCAGTCAACTGTTTGAATGGTTTCCAACTACCTGTTCTGTTTCCAGCAGAAGCTCAAGCTGTACACAAGGAGAACCCAAAATCGGGTACACAAAAATGGCTTACCTAATCCTTTTCACTACTGTGGCTCATAAACGTTTCCTCTATTCAGTTTTTACAATAATTTGGTGTGTAATTCATAGCCATTCAGTTTCCTCCTCTTATTCTTTCCTTTCAAACTCTTAACTGTAAAATAATACTTTATATTCTGGGTCTTTTATTCTAATGAACAATACTCCGGTTTCCGACAGCTTTTGGTCTGAATCGTAATCATTTCTGAGTGATATTCACTACTTAATGTTTTTCAGTTATATAATGACTTTTTAGAACACTATATAACTAATGTATAGCTTTGAAGTGAAGTTACGAAAAGAATACTATTTGCTGACCTTTATTGCCTTTTTCACTATTCTTCAGCTACATACATAAGAGAGGAATATTCAGGAATACATATTTAGGCATTATTTTTAATTTCATACATATATTATGTAACACTCCTGATAAACTGGCCAATTATAATAATTATTATTCCCTTAGATTCAGAGCAGAATATAGAACTTCAAAAGCATATCTCTGTGCGTCGGTGGCACAGTGGTTAGGACTCTCGCCGACCATGCACATGGTCCGGGGTTCGAGCCCACGCCGGCGCACACCTGATATCTATGGTCGGCCTGCAAAATTTGGGCTACCGATATCCATGCTGAAAATTCCATACTTGTACCAAAAATACAGTGTGAAATCAAGCTGTAAATCAAAAAAAAAATATAAAAAAAAAATTCATCCAGTATTCTGTAATCCTTCTTTGTTGGGTTCATGTTTGCTCATACACGCTAATCTCTTCCATGTTACCCTTGAACACCCAACCCGTGGTTTCCTGTCCAACTTCCACTCTAACTATGACACGGCGCAAGATATCCCCCAATGGTCTCCTCAGCATGTGTCAGATCCATCTCCATTTTCTTCGGGAAATGTTTGAGTAATAGATTCTTGGTTGGTTTATTTCCATAGTTACTTGTTGCTAATTCTTTCTAGCCATTTGATCTTCAGTGTGTAGAGAAGGCAGCTGTTGATAAAAGTCTGCAAGCTGTTGGAAATGTTCTTTTTTTTGATAAGCATCAAATTTCTGAACTATATAGAAGAACTGACGGACTTAACAGTAGTGTTGAAAATCCGAATTGTGTTCTTTATCCTGAGTGCAAAAGATTTACAAACTGATTTCACAGAGTGATGAAGGTGTCTGTCTTGCATCGTCAACCGTGCTGCGCCTATGTATACGAAGAAAGTGACCACTTCCGAATTTCTTCTATTGATAGTGATCGGTCCTGTTGTTGTTGTTGTTGATCGCTAGGTACCTTCACCACCTCTGTCTTCTCTATGCCCACTTGAAGTCTTGTCTTTGCCGCCTGCTACTTCAGCCAATTTGTTGGTTTTCGCCTGTAGATCTTCGAGGTTGTGTAACATTAGATATAAATCATCCACGAAGTCAAGATCCTCTATATTGTTCTCTACCCAGTGTACTCCTGTCTTCCCGTTCGCCATATTGTGCTGCATGATCTAGTCCACTACAACCAGAAACATCATCAGTAATGGTAAGGATTCTTGTCTTATTCGGCAAGTTTTCTGTTGAGAATCACTTAAGATTATGACATCATCATAAAGCTGTCGAGTGAGGTTGATAAACATTTGTGGCACTCCATAGTGATGAGGCGGTATCCAAATCACTTCGCATTCAACGCTACTGAAGATTTTCTTAAAGTTGAGGTAGAGATTTGACTGCCATTTTATGCTCTGTTCAATGGTGATACATAGCGTTGGGATTTGATCCGCACACTATTCTATTTGCTTTTGCTGAGTGCGGCATGTTCCGGGAGGAGTTGTGCATCCCCAACAGTTTTTAATCTTTCCAGGATGAAACGACTTAATATTTTGTTTGGTGTGGACAGGAGCACAATTCCGCGCGCTAGTTTTTGCACAGACTTAAATCCTCCTTCATTGTTAGTTCGACAAGTAATCTTTTATTCCCATCATTAGGTACCTTTCCTTTGTTTCAAACCTTCTGCAGTCCAAGTATAGTTTACATGATTATATCTACTATCTATTTAAAACACATATTATCATTACCGGCAACTAGAGAGTTCAGTGAGAACTTTTATACTACACTATTTACATATCTTAAAATATATTTGTTATTTGAATCACTTTGACGAATTTCAAACCAATTTAATACGGGAAACGAAATTTTTATTTCATTTCAAACACACTAAAACGCATACAAACCTGATTTGTATTGGATGCCTCCATTTTATTCAAGATAATGTATTTGGGAGGCCAACAGAAGTCAAATTTGGATCATTACATACACCACCATTCCTTATTTAGTGTTTTTGTGGAGTATGCTACTGACAAGAATTATCAAAAGTATATAAAGAGAAGATCAACGACACATAAATATCAAACAGCGGAAAGATAGATTTTACGTCGAAGAGAGGGGAAATGAACCGGTATTAAGACGAAACATGGGAGACACAAAAAGAAGACAAACAAAAACCCTATGACGGGCAGAAATGGCACAACACGGAAGATCTGTGCAAATGACAATTTTAATTTAAGGTATACATAATTTTCGTGTATGTGTATATCAAGTTGCAAATAAGCATTTCGTTACTAATCACTCTTGCATTCTGCAGTTACACTTCTAACTCTTTTAATTTGCAATTATTGGGTGTAACCGTTCCTATGGATGTGTTATTGTCTAAGCTCTTGCATAGTCTATTCATTAATATATATATATATATATATATATATATATATATATATATATATATATATATATATATATATATATACTGAGCGATGTTGAATGATGCTCATTTAAATGGCAACAACTTGAATTATTAAGACAAAAGATGGGTTGCCATTTGAATAGTTACATGCATAATATGAGCTCTGAAGGCATTTTTAGACAACAACAACAAGTAGAGTGGAGCATAACATTCCTTTTCTACTGTTACCAAACCGTAAACATATGAGAAATATTGACAAGTTAAATGTATCACTCACTTATATTAGAATGAACAGATCAGTTAATTAACATTCCACTGTAGCTTATTATCTGATTTCCCTGAGGCATATTGCATTTTTTCTATTTCTTCAGCCCGTTCTTGTTTTCGCCTTACACTTTCAGGATCTGCAATCCCGCGTGTTGAACTCTCAGCCAGACGACGTTCAGCAGCTTCTGCTTGCAATTGTCTACGTGTTTCTGGGTCTACAGAACTTGTATCACGATTTTGTGAATATGATTCATATCGAATAGGTGAATCATCATCGGAAGAACGATGAAAACAACAGAACAAACGTTCACACTGAAATAAAAAAAGAAACAAAACAGAACTTTGAGTGAGATGTAAAACGATGAAGAAAAAAAAAGAAGAGGAGTACACAGAGAAAGTAAAGGTAGACAATGTGTGGTCAATACTTACCAGGTAGGTTACCTGTAATTTAGATAATATGAAAACCATGAGGCCCTTCATAAAAGATAAATTTAATTATGTTAACATGCGAACACAGCTTTGGTAAACCACTTCTATATCAAGTAGTCAAAATGGAAAAAACATTGGGCTAATCTTTCCGAGACAAATAATAATGTAATTCAATGCATACTGTAGTATGATGCGGATTGTCAGGAAGCGGTCAAAACTGAAATCCACACGATAAGTCGGTGGCTGATTGCAGACGTAGAAGTATATTTTCCTCAAATCTACATTAAGTTTACTTTGTGGACATGAAATAACCTCATTGGACAAATTGTTTAACGTTGCACCCATAGCCAACCAATCAGAACAATCTATTCTCCACCGACCTAGCTGAACTTTATTGTGGATAAGAATGTATCAATCATGTCACTTCTTTCATGATGAGTTGGTGGTTAATGGGATTCGGAGTAGGTGCTTTGAAGTTACTGAAGAACCATCAAACGGATACCCTTGTAAGTTGATATTTTCCATTTTAGGCAAAAAACACGATACTTACACTAATCATAACGTTCTTTGGAAAACCATTAACCAGTTCCCCGAATCATAGTGAAATTATGATTGCTAATTGAAAATGAAATTCGAAAACAATCAAATCCAGTTGATGCAAAATAGCGAGTTTATATTTGTTTATGAGTTCAGAACTAAAATACTACCAACAGTGGTAGAATTTGGTATTGACTGCTGGCAGAATAACTAAAGTGCACATTATTTATTGTGTCACGAAAATGTTAGAAAGAATACTACGAATCAATTATTTACAATAACAGACAGTTTGTCAGTTGTAAATAAAAACAAAGGGAATGATCTACATTTAATTTTCAACCATTACATAACAATTAGAACAGACACATCTGAGTATAGAACTTGGGCACTATGATACAGTATAACTGCATTATGGATAAGATTTTATTTTGATAAATCACACAGTGTTGTACAGCAATATTAACTGGTGACATGATGGTGGTATAGCTGTTAGGGCGCTCGCCGACCATGCACATGGTCCGGGGTTCAATCCCCGGCAAACGCACTCCTTTACCTAGCTAAGCCAGAAATAATGCTGGTAAAGAGGAACGGTTGGGCATGAGGCTAGCATCCCTATCCTGTTAAATAGACACTGCTACAGAGACTTCAAGCCACTAGCTTGAAGCCCTATGTTCCACTGGGAACGTGAAGGAAAAAAAATGATGGAGAAGATTTGTAGCTCAGGTGGATGATTTTGATGTGGTTGTGTTCTCTGAGCTGGATAGTTAATTTGCGAAGCTTTCATCACCCTGCTAGGCGACATCTTCAGCGCATACTTCAATTTGAAGTGAGCTTTTAGATTTCTCCACGAGTTTACTAATCGTATCTTCTGGTGACCTTGGGAGTGATTGCCCATTCTTTGCCCGTGGAGAAATCTAAAAGCTCACTTTAAAGTGAAGTATGCGCTGAAGATGTCGCCTATCAGGGCGATGAAAGCTTCGCAGATTAACTGTCCAGCGCAGAGAACACAACCACATCAAAACTGATGATATTTCTAGTACAAACTATTGGTCACAATCAAGTGAGCAATGGAGTTAGAACAGATATAGTTTATCTGAAACATCTGAAACGTATGAATGTATTTGTGCAACACACTTTGGAAACTCTGATCACGCACGTGCTTGCCATAAAAATTTATGTAGAAGGCAAGAAGGCATAAATTACTGCAATACAGGTTAGGGTCACAAATGAGGGGTAGGAAGGTAACGTAATAGTGTGGGGGTAAGAAAAAAGAGGAGAAAAAGGAAAGGAATGGTGAAAATATCATTAAGTTGAACTATGGTTGTGTATTGGATTACCAAGGTAGGTTTAAAGTAATAACAAATAATTGTTTTGGAAACACAGGACAGGTTTAAGCTTTTTTATGGCCAAGGCCTCAACGAATTCAAGTATGTGATCCAGCATCATCTATAGAGTAGAACATCATAGAGGTTGGGTCACATACTTGGATTTGTTAAAACCTTGTCTATAAGAAGGTTTAAATCTGTCTTATGTGTCCAAAAATTACTCTTACGTCACCTTCCTACCCCTTATTTGTGACCTTGACCTGTATTGTGATAATTTACGCTTCCTTGTCTTCTACATAAATGTGCATGACAATTACGTGCCTGGCACAAATACATTCACACGTTCCAGATAAACTACGTCTTCTTATTGTTTTGTCGAAATTCATAAAGGGAACTAATTGCTTTAGATTAGAACAGATATGCGACTGACGAGACTGATGACGCAAACTTCGACGCAGGATATATTCGGAGTACAAGTTACTAAACTTTTTAACAAACAGTTTGTCAAGTGAAACTCTAAGCTTTTTTTACAGTAGGATTTGCATAAAATACCTAGTACGGAATTTCCCAGAGTACAATGATTTCAGATTACTAGCTTAAATATGTTAGCCTTCGATTTCTATGTTACCTACAAGAATTTCTGTTTCGTGCCAGACATTTTCAATTTTTCATTCAGGTTGTGCTAGGAATTGCAGTTCCCACCAAGTGAGAGAAAAGCACTATCAGCCTATGACACTTTTTTTTTCATTCCTTGATGTAGCATTATTGATGAACAATGTAAGGGATGTGTAAACTATAATGTTTATTAGCCAGTATGTCGTTGATAAGAACACGATGAAATACAGTGAATTCATTGTATCATGTGTAGCACTGATTATTTTAGCCTAAGTGATTGATGTTTATAAATAAAAGCAATCAGACGTAAGTTCATTTGCAGAATTAACGTAAATCAAGTTGTTTTTTTCAAAGAATCCATTGACTGGAACACAGCTGACATGCATGAACATTACTTGTGTTACGATTTAGCTGTGAACACACCAAATCAGATTCAGGTTTATTCATCAAAAATAATTTTCGAACGCATTTAAATTAAGACCAGTATGGAATAATTTCCACACATCAGCTGATTAGAGGTCAACGGTAGCTTCCACAGAATCATACTATCAATTCGACGACTTGCATTAACGCAATGGTAATAATCTCATCTTTTTACACAAGCATACTTATGGTCTAGTAATAACAAAACCGGTAGGAAGTTGACACATAAAAAACAAACAAATCTAGCAATTCAGATAAGCGTTAAAAACGCAAAATTAACAGAAATCAACAGGAAGGTCGGCTATGAAAGGTAATAGAATAATCATTAGTGGTGCGACTGACTTTTCATGATGACCACTATAGGGAAAATGGTTGGACTTATTTATTTTGATGAACACATAATGTGAGCTTGAGATCTTGGATCCCCAACGCCTCAGCTTTTCCTAGATGCCTTGATTTCACTCCCTTTGATAGGCTTGATCGGATCTTGTACATGACTTTGAAGGACTTTTCAAATGGAGCTGAATGTCCTGAATTCAACAGATGTTCTGTTACCGAACTGTATACTTCCCTGCATCCTCCTTTTAGTAACAATGCTGGATAGTGTTCCCAAGCGCGTTTTACAAGAGGACACATGGTACGGACAATGCACTTGGGTCCACACGAACAAGTGAACTTGTATATGCATGTTGAAGTGGCCTGGAAAGGGTTGGTGACTTGGAACTTTTCAGACATTTTCTTTGGTTTTAGATTCTTTTATACGAATCTTGGTGAAAGGAAACCAATTTCTCTCCAGGTCCCTAGGAGATTACACAATTCTTCATCACTTCACTCCTCGGCGCATATTTTCCGGATTCTTGTGGAAAGAGAATATATTATGTTTCTCTTTCTGCTTAGAGGCACATTGATTTGAAAGTTGATAAACTGTCCGTTCCATGTGGGCTTTTGTAGATGGATCTTCTTAGCGAGTTGTCTGCATTTCTTCATAGTTGAACGTCGAGGAAATGAGACACTGAGTCAGATTCAACTTCCAGGGTGAAGTCGATGTTTGGGTGGGCGTCATTGAAGATTTGAAAATCACAATTGTCACCACAAATAATGAAAGCAGAATCGTTGTATCTCTTGTAGAGATGGAGGTCGTCGATAGTTGATGATAAGGACTTGTTTTCCAGGCTAACCATAAAGCAGTCAATCAAAAGAGGTCCTAGAGGAGAACCCATTGCTAATCCATCTACTTGCTTGTATATTTCGTTGTTGAAATTAAATTGGACTGTGAAGGTGAATCGTAGTTATAGCTCTTTTATATAATGGATTGGTATACCAAAATCGACGCTATTGTGTCCGCTTGTAAAACGCGCTTGGGAACACTATCCAGCATTGTTACCAAAAGGAGGATGCAGGGAAGTATACAGTTCGGTAACAGAACATCTGTTGAATTCAGGACATTCAGCTCCATTTGAAAAGTCCTTCAAAGTCATGTACAAGATCCGATCGAGCCTATCAAAGGGAGTGAAATCAAGGCATCTAGGAAAAGCTGAGGCGTTGGGGATCCAAGATCTCAAGCTCACATTATGTGTTCATCAAAATAAATAAGTCCAACCATTTTCCCTATAGTGGTCATCATGAAAAGTCAGTCGCACCACTAATGATTATTCTATTACCTTTCATAGCCGACCTTCCTGTTGATTTCTGTTAATTTTGCGTTTTTAACGCTTATCTGAATTGCTAGATTTGTTTGTTTATGTGTCAACTTCCTGTTTATTTCTGGTATTTTTACTTTTTTAATTACTATCTGAATTACTAGACTTGTTTTTTTAAAAATATATTATATAGTGATCAGTTAGTAAATCCCAAAACTGTTACTCTTACATGGAAGTAGGGGGATATCTCACCGGCCGAATGAGTTACACACGGTCTAGAATTATTGCTTCTGGTAGTCCTAACACGTCTAAGAAATTATATACATAGCTATAAGGTGTATGGATAGTATTATGGACACCAAGAGGTGTGCCACACAACAATATATAAGGAAATTCGGGAGACAAAGAATGAGGGACGACAACCGGAAAGGAAGCCCGTATATTTGTCAAAATCATTCAACATTCAATACTTCATGGTGCTTTTAGAAAGGGAAAGGAGGAGAGAGCTGTAGCTCGTTCACCACTGATTGTTTTTCTTGGCGATAACTGATAACGTTTCGAACCCCGAACAGGGATTCGTGATGTACTAATTAATGCTAATTTACTATGAATATGCTTCATCCCGTGACGCCACGTTATGAGCTGACTACCTCTACGCTTTCTTAATCCACTCCCAGTTCCAGAGAACAGAGACCGGTACGGAAGACCTCTGGGATGACAGTCGTAGCATATGTTAGAGCCAACGAATACGATATTTGCAGATGATGATACTCAATGAATAATGATTTTTACCATACCTAAACACACAATGCCAGACCTCCGAATTACTCACACGATGATGTCATAGGGCACAAGCAATTCTACATAGATAGCAACGACCGAGTTCATGGTGACTAACTGAAGTTACTTAGAATTATACTGCCTAAATCTTTGCAAACGCGCTGAGCAGTAAGGGGTGATAAATGGGAAAAAAAGAGAGACAATACCAGGTAATACCTGCCAACTATGCAGAATTATCATGGATACAAGTCCTAGAAAATGCTCTAGTATATGAAACGAATATAGAACCTCACTATTGTTATAGCAAATACGACTGGAACACTGGCATAACAATGAAAAAGATCGATTTGACTATTTTTCGGCTGCACTAGATCTTTTCACTATCAAACCCCAATACGAATGGATATCAAGCTAGTTAGTTATTACCGAATATGTATGGGAAGCAGCCTCTGGTTTGAAAAAAGACCAAACAACAGGATCTAAGGCTTTGGATTCAAGTGTTTAAGGATGGTAGCATGATAAATTACTGACCGGGAAAACTAAGGTACTAGCTTATATATGAGAATCTGAGGTATTGACAATAGACTGGTAAATATTATTAATCGTCCCACTAACAACTAATGTCTAAGTTGGTAGGGTTCAATTAATTTATAGAATTACTGACAGTGAGTTGGAACTAACTAGAAATTATCTAAGTGCAGAAGAGGGTTCACTTTTCATTTTCTTCCTACTATAGAACAGAATCCAGGTGGGAGATATAATTACCAGTCTCCTAAATCTGATAGATTTCATTTGGTGAGCCACGAAACATTCCTAAATTTCATATATATATATATATATATATATATATATATATATATATATATAGTGACTAGTGAAGAATTGCAACACTGATGTACTAAAGTGATGCATTTTAAAATGCTTTTTAAGCTATCATCTATCATAACCCTTATAAACCGAAACACGATACACAGACCGATAGTCACACCAATGAACGATAAATAAATGCCAAACCCAAAACACATGAAAACATCATAAAGCGATAGAAATTTCCTATTAATTAAGTACAACTATTGATCAAGCTTCTTCCGGTTCCACTTTTCCATAATTTTGGCAGTCAATGAGTGATTCATCCAACGTACAAGAGAGTGTAACCTAACATTGGATTAAGATCGTCAACAGAATAGTAGGTAGATAACTACTAGAACTAATGCAAATTAATCTCAAATTGATCAGGACCAACTTATTAAAGTAGAACTTTAAGCAAAGTACAGCAATTCATATTGCCACACTTTGGAGAAGCAAACATATGAGCAGAAAATACGTTTCATAAGAATAGAATGAATGAAAACGAACAAGTAAGTAGATGACAATTAGTTAGTTATTAGCCATTACTGATAGTCATCAAGTTTATCGTTTCAATAAAACAAGTTTTTTTTCAAGTATCCGTTTTGTAGGGACTTTGTTTGATTGGTTGAAGGATTTCATCATGAGCTGACATCAGTTAGAGAACCCTTGAAAAACCAACTGGGAGTACTCCACAGTTGTTTCGTCCTAGTTTGAGATTCTCCATCACCATGCACCGACCGCCAGAGTTCGAACCCAGGACATTCCGGTTACATGGAGGGCTAGCTCGTAGACTATGAAGCCACTTGGATCCAATCCAATGGCCAGCCCATGAATTCCAACTTCTGCTAATTCACAACATAGCGCGACTACTTCACAATGTCTTCTTCCATGAGTTACTGCCTCATCTTCAACCTGCTGTACCTTACTGGCCACGGCTTCCCATTAGAACCCCAGGTTAACTGCCTGAATAGTGCCAGTCGCTAGTGAATATCAAATTAATTTTCAAGTGTTGGTTTTTTAGGGATTTTGTTTGGAGGATTTCATCATTAGCTGACACCAATTAGCGAACCATTGGAAAACCTAGGGAGCTCGCCTTTTAACCAGAGAGTCTTGGGTTTGAACCCCGGCGGTGGGCGTGTGGTGATGAAGAGTCCCGATTTAGGAAGAAACAGCTGTCCAGTACTCCCTAGGTTTTCCAATGGTTCTCTAACTGATGTCAGCTCATGATGAAATCCTGTAACCAATAAATTTTTTATCTATTTATCACTAGACGGCAACTTTGAATTTCTTAGTGCTTATGGAAGTTTGCCGAAAATATAATTAAACCGATAGGCCTGAAAGCTACATCAACGGCTACTATTTGATGACGCATTCGTTAGTCAATAATGCGTAGCTTAATGTTAACGTTTTTCCTCAAAGCTAAGTGGGATGGGTTTGAGTCGTCTAGTCCTTTCAAACACACCCTGCTCAAGTGTGTCCGAATACACTGAACCTGCTACTAATCGACTGTTAACATTTACTGCTGAATAAAATTCACAGTTAGTCAATTTAATAAGAACCCAGCGCTTAAAGTCACCGACTAACGTGAACGTGATTAACCACTTAAGATGTGCTATGCTGCACCTATTATTTGTGTGGTACAATGGTACTTTCCGAATTTCCAAGTTTCATAAAATACTTGCTAGATAGGGATGTATAACTGAGCAAGTTTAGTGAATCACAATTGAGCCTTCAAGTGCAAGAAGTACACCGACTTTCTACTTTAAACCTACTAACTCCTACACCTTACTAAGTTGTAATACGGAATAGCCAATTTAATCAGTCATTTTTGTATTGGACAACAGACGAATTAACTAAAGAGGATATAAGCATTGTCGACATACGAATAAATTTTAATTTGATATGTTCAATTCAAATAAGCGTATGAAACTGAACTTCACTGAATAATCTATCAAAATAACCGCAAAAGAAAAATCAAAATTTTAATCAAGCACCCAAATCCCTTCCCAAACAAAATTCAAACAATCTAATCAATAGAACAAGGATGTTAATCAGTGTATAAATTTGATTGTATTTAATACATTTTAAGAAAATATTCACAATAGAAGTGAGCAAGTTTTTAACATTTGCTTCACCACTATTATTATTTGTTTTTCAAGCACTTCTATATTTTTTTTGTCAGACACATCTATTTTCGCTAAATTTATTCTCCACCCATTTCGTCATCTTCATCATTATCACTCTCTTCTTCTTCTTCAGAGGATGTCACACTTGGTGCACCATTCATCTTCTCTGTTTCACACTTAGGACAATCACACCAGAATAAATAATTTTGTGACAAATGTTTACGTCTTGTATGACGACTACGGGATTGTAAGCATTGATCTAAATATGATATAGTGATTTCTTCACCTTCTTTAATTGATGTCAGTGCCACAACAGATAACCGACTATTTGTGCCATTGAAACGTACTATTGAGTTTGGTGAGCAACTATGATTGATACGACCTAGAAGTTAATACAAAGGGGAATAAGTAAATTAGAATGATTACATACAGAATACATGGAAATATTTAAATCTATCAGGTGCTAGAATCTAACGAATAAGGTCACCAGGCTGAGTAACCCAGTTATTGTTGTGTTTTGTAATTGACAATAGATGATTGCCAACCTATATTATCTTTGGCGTAGACACGATATCCGACTGTCAACCAAAAGACGTGTGTACCACTCAGCAGTTCATTCTGTCCTTCTTTAAAGCTGAGTAAAATGGCCGTTGGAAATGGAAGACATGAAAAAACTACCTGTCTTTGATCATAAGTGTCTGCGCCCTATCTCCCATGTTAGGTGGTATAATGGGTTAAGTAATATTGAGGTTAGGCGGCGTGAGTTACGTAAGGAGGGAAAATCAACTAATGAGATTGTGAAGCTACATCGATTGAGATGGCTAGGAGAGGTCTCGCGCACCCAAAGCCACTGCCTTTCACGTCCAGAAATGTTAAGCGACATAGAATTGGGTTGGAAAAGAGCTGGAGGTGGCCAACTTGAGACTTAGCATTAGCCCATGAAATTTTTAACAGTTAGTTTAAGCCATATAGGGAGGTGCGGACTTCCTGATTGAGGTCCTCTGGATTCCAATAACCAATGGCTGCAGACAATCTGGTTTTAATCTCTTTCTTTTACTCTTTTGTCTTTGTGTGCTATATGAAGTGTGGCAACTGGAACTGCTGCACTTCTGTGTACAAATCTATGCTGAAACCAGTCAGTCAGATGATTAAAGGTATTCGAAAAGAGAACCTGGAGTCAGATTTTGTCCGCATAAGCAATTACTAACGAAACATATATAACTTCAAACAAACTCTCGGGACATATTTTTCATTTACCAGGGTAAGAACCATATTGATTATGTGAAGGCTGATGATACTCTGCTCAGTCGCCCAAACCGAAGTAACTGGAAACAGATTCGAACTTGGGACTCTGTGGCCGAAATTCTCACGCTATAACTATTATGTCACAAGCAAACTTGCTACCAGAGACCTTTATAAGGGGTCTTCAACAACTTGTTTCTAAATCTAAAACAGTTTTCATATAAGAATTCAACTCCAAATTGCCTAAAAGCATACAAACCTATTTTTTAATTCAGGAAGTATCAAAATAGGTATAGAATTTAACTGTTAAGTCATTTAAATAATAGCAACTCAAAGATACACGTTCACAACAAAAACATTCCATAAAACAGCACTATTTCCTTACAGAAAATGGAAAAATATTTCTACCTTAGGAGCTGAAAGAAACCGTTGACTCTATCTGCGTGGAAATACAGATTATGGACACATAAACTTTCAGTTAGGGTGGTGTTTCCTGCTTACGCAGTGGTGTTGCTGGCCTCACCTCCCTCTTCATCGGGCTTAATAGAGAGTAAGCGAATTTTAAGCGTGGATCCGCTCGGACCGCGTGAAGCGTGATTGTCCAGGGTTCTGCCACTAGACGAGCGATGCACAGTTTGACATGAAGTACTTGGAATCTCAAAAAATCTTTTAAAAAGGTATCCTCGCGCAAAAGAATGATGTGCACAACGTGGGATACAATGAAATTTCAAGTGTGACATGATTACACGCTGCTTATCAAGGAAAAATCAATTAAGTGCAGCGAAAAGCTGAGAAGTAAAACAATTCATCAGCCGGAGAATGCACACTACTAAAGTAAATCGCAATAACTACTTTTATCCGCTCTTACGATACCGACACGGTGATATAACAAAATTTGCTGACGGAGAAAACTCAAATACGCTGACTTCTTGAGGTAATAAAACAAGTGAACAATTGGGCTCTGGGGTTTATAAGTAACCAATAAATATAATTAATTTGATATACTGCATATTAATAAGCCGTGATAAATATGTGAGGAAAAACATACTTTGGAAGTAGTATAACCCTACTCCTTCATTGTCTAAAAAGGATCCAACATGATTATCCATTGCCTCGTATAACTGATCAAGAATCAAAGTGAATTGAGCAGATTCTTCGCCATTCACCGAACTAGCCAATTTTCCGGCCTGATTCGCCCAGACACTGAAGGCGCTTGTAGCAATACCTTGCCCATTTCGACTAATAAGGCATAAAGCAGAAGTGAAGTGATTCTTTTCCAATAGGTTGTTCAGTCCAGCCTTCTGAAGTATTTGGATGCATTCATCATATGAAGAAGCATTAGAAGATTTTTTACACAAGAATAGGAGTACTTCAATAAATGCACTGTGAAGTTGTTCAAGGCGTGAAACAAACTGATCACCAAGTATATGGTGATAGAGAACATTATTTTCACCCTCATTGGTTGCTGCGCTTGTACTGGAAACAAAAGTTTTTAGTGCTTCAACAACATGCTGTGAATGTATTGAGTCAAAAATACACGCTGAAAGACAAGCTGCAGCAACACGGACAAGGAGGAAAATAGTGCCACTTTCAGGCGGGTAGTGTGACTCTCGCCATAACATGTCCAATTTTTCCAATGGATTCTCACCACTTGTCTCATTGAGACCAATACACATTACGGAATGATAAACGAGAGCAGCTGATTCAAGACAGTTCGGAGAGCAATAATTCACTAGACATTTTGGACACTGAACGATTTGGTTACATTGAAACGCTGCTTCAGGATGAGGCAGTGTAAGACTTGGATTATTAGTAAGTCTTCGGGCGTTTTCTTCTGATGTTTCAAGTGGGCATAAACAATGATCACAGGCTTTATATCCATACAGCTTGTTCCATGAAAACTGACAGCATACCAAAGGCTCTTCAGAAAAAAGGATATCTTCAGGACGTACAGACTGTGTGGCAACAAGCCCTCTGCCACGAATTGGCCCAAAGTCAACTTCTCTTGTGAGATTCATCGGTTTAAAAGACCCTGAGGTAAAAAGAATACAAGATTACCAAAAACTTCGTCAGCATATACTGATGTAAGAGACTTAACATACATTAGATCAGTTGTTGGAGCAGTTAAAAAGGTTAAACGGATGTAGGAAAATAGTAGGAAGAGTTTTCCAACTGGTTTTTCAAACATCTCATATTCAGTATCTTGTGCTGTACGAACAATGGAAATGTTTACATTAGCAACTGGACCGTATTATTCCTTATGTAAAAATGAATAAAGATGTCAAGAACACAAAAATAGGTGAATATTCAGTGTGCATAACGTGTACAACTTATAAGGATACGATTTACCCAACATATGGGTTAAGCTGTATTATTATTATTGCTCCCTTGGGTTCCTAGTGGAACATAGGGCTTCAACTGCGCGTCTCCACTTGCTTCTGTCTTCTGCTGTACTTTTCACCTGCATCCATGGTAGTCCATACTCTTTCAACTCCTCTTCACACGATCTCCTCCATGTCACCCTTGGACGTCCCACTCGCCGCTTTCCTTTCGGGTTCCACTCGAGCAATGGCATGACGTGCGCGCGATGTCACCCAGCGGCCTCCTCAGCGAGTGTCCAATCCATCTCCACTTTCTCCTGCATATCAATTGGTTGGCGATTGCTTCATGTTTTTTTTGTTCCCATAATTTCTTGTTGGTGATTCTTTCCGGCCCTGCCATCCGATCTTCAGTATAGAGCGAAGACAGTTGTTGATAAAGAATGTCTGCAACTGGCTGTTGGAAATATTCTTTGTGACCCACCCGCCAAGTTTCTGATTCGTATAGAAGAACTGACTTGACGTTGTTTGTATTGAAAATCCGAATTTTGTTGTCGATGCTGAGTGACGAAGATTTCCAGATTGGTTTCAGGTTGATGAATGTGTTTCTCGCCTTCCCGATTCTCGCTCGATTTTACGACCTCGTCCGTTCCTACTTCCTATAGTTGAGACAATGCTCCCTAGATAAGTGAATGAAGTAACCTCTTTCAAATCCCTCCCGTTGATGGTGATTGACGCTGGATGTTGCTGTGTTGTTGTGTTGTTGGTTGGTTATTTTCATCACCTCCGTCTTGTCTATGTTCACTTGGAGTCCTGTCTTCGCCAGCTGCTTCTTCGACCAGTTTGTTGGTTTTCGCTTGTAAGTCTTTGATTTTGTGTGACATCAAACATAAATCATCTTCTAGGTTCTTTACGTCGGTCCAGGATATTCCTGTCTTCTCGTTTCCCACTGTCTGACGCATAATCCAGTCCATCACAATTAGGAATATCATTGGTGATAATAAGCACCCTTTTCTGACTCCTGTGTTTATTCCAAACGCCTCACTGCGTTTTCCGTTGTGGATCACTTGACATGTGCCGTTGTCGTACAGCTGTTGAATAAGGTTGATGAATATTTGGGGTACGCCATAGTACTCGAGTAGTTTCCAAATTACTTCACGATCAACGCTGTCGAAGGCCTTCTCAAAGTCTATAAAGTTGAGGTAGAGGTTTGATTGCCATTCCATGCTTTGTTCGATGATGATGCGTAGAGTTGCAATTTGGTCAGTACATGATTTGCCTTTCCTGAATCCAGCTTGTTCTGGTCGGAGTTCTGTATCCAGTGCGTCCTTTAATCTCTCCAGGATGATGCGACTCAGGATTTTACTTGGCGTCGACAGGAGCATGATTCCTCGCCAGTTCTTGCAGAGTGAGGCGTAAGTCTCCCTTCTTTGGTAGTTTCACGAGGTAACCTTTCCTCCAGTCAGTAGGCACCTTTCCCTCCTTCCAGACCTTTTGCAATAATGGAGTCAGCATGTCTGCTGTAGTCTCTGGGTCCGCTTTCAGTGCTTCAGGGGGTATTCCATCTGGTCCGGCTGCTTTTCCAGCTTTCAGAAGCTTGATTGCATTCAAGACTTCAGCTCTCGTTGGAGGATTGGTGTCAACTTGCAGTTGTGTGCGCGCTGTTGTTGGTATTTCTGGACGGGTTGCAGGTGATGGTCGGTTCAAGAGTCCTTTGAAGTGATCCGCCCATTGTTTAATCTGTTTTTCTTCCTTGGTAATTGGGTTCCCTTGGCTGTCTTTTATAGGTTTCGCTTGTGTTGATCTCTTCCCGGATAGAGATTTGGTTATCTGATATAGTGTCCTCAGGTCCCTTTTGCCTGCTGCCTTCTCAGCTTCAGTGGCCAGGTTGTCGTAGAATCGTCTTTTGTCCTTCCTAGCACTCTTCTTCACTTCTTTGTCCAGTGCTGTGTAAGTTGAGCTCAGCGTCTTCTCCTGTCCGTCCTTGCATTGAATCATTTTCTCTTTCACCATTCTCCTCTCTTCTATTAATTTCCAAGTGTCCGTTGAGAGCCATTCCTTGTCTTGTCTCTTCTTTCTTCCTAGAACCGTTGAACACGTTTCGTTGAGAATCGCCTTCAGAGACTTCCAATGTTCTTCCACGCATGATTCTTCAGTGATGTCGCGTAGTGTTTCCTGCTTTGCTCTGACAGTTGCAGTGAAAGTGTCTTTTGTGGTTGTGTCCTTCAGTAATTGAGTGTTGAACTTGCATTGTGGCCTATCCCCAGCTATCCTCGAGGCTTTTAGTTTCACCTTGAAAGTCCCTTCTACTAGATAGTGGTCTGAACCCACATCTGCTCCTCTCCTCGACCTTGTGTCCAGTAGGCTCCGTCTCCACTTTCTTGAAATTGAGATGAAGTCTTTGGTTTTTGGTGTCCATCTGGTGAAATCCATGTCGTCTTGTGTATATCCTTGTGTTTGAACACACTGCCACCAATCACCAAATCATTGAAGGCGCAGAAGTCTGAGAAGAGTTCACCATTGTCGTTCATTTCACCGAGGGCCTCACGACCCATGGTGAGTTCTCTTCCTGTGTTGTCTCCTCCCAGCTTCGCATTCATGTCGCCCATCAGGATTTTGATATCGCCATTTGGGACGTTGTCCATTATTGCTTGTAGTTGTCTGTAGAACGCCTCCTTCTTCTCTTGTTCTGAGACGTTTGTAGGCGCATAGCATTGAATGACTGTAACTTTCCTTCCTTTTGAGTTGAACCTGGCTGTCATTATCCTGGAGGAGATTGGTTCCCACTGCATGAGAGCTTTGGTTGCTGTTGGTGACATCATGATGGCCACTCCCTCGGTGTGCTCGTGGTTGTCCTCTGGGTGGCCGGAAAAGATTATTGTCTCTCCAGTTGGTAGTTGGCACCTTCCAGTTCCGTTCCATCTGCTTTCGCAGATTCCCAACACTATACCTTCTCATTTCAGTGGCTATCTGGCAGCCTTTCCTATACATATATACATAAAACTAAGTTTATTCATCCAAATATGTAGAGCTTCGTCTATGCAAAAGATAACTTGGAACTCCATTCGAAAAATCCTATGGAATGAGATAAATAACCACAAGAGTGCTTTTTCTGTCCATTTGGTAACCACCATCAATCAACTGAAGCAAGACAAAGCTTCTTACTGATTTGTTTGAGCTTTTCGGAAACATAAGAGCAGGTGATCAGTTATGCATATATTGAGTTGTCTAGTGGTTTCTTCTACATAGCTTTCTAAATTTATAAATGCACACAACAGACTAACTGGTGAGTAAATTGTATTACTAGCAAAAATTCAGTTTCCTTGTACAGATTTTCTGTATACCAACCTATGAATCAAACATTTTGTGAGAAGTGTAATCATACAGCTCAGTTAAGCAGGTTGAAATATGTGCGGCGAGACTGGAGTATGACAGCCCTTGACTGAAAGTCTAATTTTTAAGTCATCCCCAGAAAATTAACCATGAAACGAATCTATTTTTATGGCTTCAAGACAAGCAGACTTATCACGGAATTAACGTAAAATGATGTAACAAATAACAATCAATGAGAATACGACTGACCATAAACTTATTACACGTTAATAAATTTGTTAAAAGGGTTCAATTTATCGACTTCCGATGATCTGTGATTTCTCATCACATATACTAGGATATTTGGAACTCATCGTCCATTGCTTTTCATGAAAGTCGGTAGAGCCACACAAGTGTTAACGTTTATGAACAATAGTTTTACCTGTAAAAAGCTAGCCGTGGTGGAATTGGACATATAAAAGACGTATTTTATACTGTATACACTTATGCAGTATTTCTGGATGATGCTGAGCCCAACTCAATATTTTGTCACTTAATGTTGCCATCATTTTTTTAAGATTTGGATTATGATAGAAAAGTTATCATTAAATAAATGCGTTAATGTGACATCAAATAAACTGACCGAAGATAAGATTCATATAAAGATCTCGGAAAAGCTTTTTAGAAACACTTCTTTAAAAAAACACTGGCAGCTTAGCAATTGTTTATAATAAATATTTATAATATGCTCGGATAAATATACAACAAGCATTTGTCAACTCTCTCGCCGCTGCAGTGACAACTGCTAAATATTCCAAATATTGTTTGAAGGCACTCCGAACCTAACTAGTTTATTTGTGAAATACGAAGTTTTAACTGTTAGTTCTTTTTGTTCACTATCTGACTTATGTTGGATACTGCTGACATTTTTAAGTATGAGGCTTGCAAGAGAAAAATATGCGGAAACTATCGTGAGGCTTCATTATGTCTAATACTGTTCCGTTATGTACAAAAAGAGACGACAATCTGGAGTCAATTAAACCTACGCGTTATTCCTGTTGTGTCATGAGGGTTGTTCCCAATCATTTTTGTAGGTGGAATAAAAACAAAATGAAGTTAGACAAACCACTGAGCTTCGACTGTAATGATCTTGGACAACTAATCATATTGTAACGACATTAAACGTCTAGAATATTAAAAAAACATACGATTCTGATTTAGAAACCTTACACAAGACGATTCCAACCAATACGCTGCACCTAAATAGTCAGGGGTATTACAGTTGACTGTTACTTAAAACATAACTTAGCTGAAGACACATTTAATGTACATTAGTGGTTAATTAACTAGTAATATATTAATAATATATCACTTCGGTGTCTCAGTCGCTTGTTGATTTAGTGTTCTGTGGTTTAACTATAGAAACATTTGACACAATTATTATACACAAATTTAACAACTAAAAAATTCCAAAACTTACAGTGTTAGTTAATAGCTCTACTCAGAGTAAGTCATGCTTACCCTGATGTAACGCAGATTTTAAGGACTGACCGTAAATTTCAAGTATTCAATGTCAAAATCACATGGCAGGTTTAGATTTAGTTTTGTGGCTACAAAAAGCGTGACTTAGGCCTGTGCTATTCCTATTCGAATAAGTACCTGTGTCTGGACTGAGGGCAAAGACACCACTTATTCTGGCAGTTTATTCCAGTAGTTAATCTTTCGGGGGGAGAAGTAGCACTCCACAGTGATATATTTCCTCCTTGACTGGCTGCTTCGGTGAAGTTTTCTAGCAATTTCCCAACCGCATGTGAATTTAAGGAGGTGAACGCACGGTCGCACACTTCACAACTTTTATATGGGGCACCCATTCTCCTGACTAATGTAGCAGATTGTTGAGATCTGTTTCCAACGTGCGCACATCTCGGTCATCCATGGGCTTTTTCCAAAGTTTCAGGTCATCTGAATAAAGAATGAGAGTTAGCAAGATAGATAGGGGTGCCTACTACAATACCTTGTGGTAAACCAATACACACCATTACCCAGGATTGGGGCCTTGGATTGTCCTTGTGTGTGTGTTCATATTCTTGATTCGGTTTAGCAGACCACTCTTGGTTTCAAAAGATTTCAGTTTCACGAACAGTCCTGTGTAAGGTACTTTGTCGAAAGCTTTACTGAAGTCTGAGAAGATATCATGGGTTCCGTGTCTTACCTGAACTTGGTGAAGCTTGCCTATGCTGCACGAAGGTCAGAGAGACACGATGAGTGACTTCAGTGACAGAAACTTTCATCTCCAATACGGTTTCTGGCAATGTGGCCAACATACTACCTGTTACAACTAATTGCTGGTGATTTGTTGGTTGTGGTCTAGACAATCATCAGAAGTAATATTGTGATTTATTATTGTAATATTTGTTCACAGACCTTAGTGGAATTATTTTTTACATGTCGGTGTTACAACAAAGAATTCTCGAGCGGCCGATCGGTGTTTTGGTTTTGGCGTCCGTTATTACTAAGCGTTTCTGAAAAACTTCAAGGAACAGCGTGAGCCCGAGCGTAGCAAGAGCTGGGCATTGACGGTTTAAGAGACGTGACTGACAGTTTCTGACGGAGAAGTCAGTTTTAGACGGGTTTGGACCGTTGGTAACAGATTGGATAGTTACCGTTCATCTTTCCTGGTGCCGGTCAAGTCCTCTTTGAACAAGCAATATCTGGAACTTTTTTGGAATTGGGTCAAGTTCAACAATGCCTGGGTCAAAGAAGGGACAGAGTGTCTTGGATGCAAACAGGAAAGTAAGTCATGGTGACTTGTCTGTTACTTGTAACGATGTGTCTGATGTTAAGCATGACATGGTTGATGTTACTGTTTCGCCGTTCAGGGATAATAGGAACATCAAACTCCCTAAGTTTGAACCACGATGTTTTGATGGAAACCCGGCCGATTATTTACAATTTGTAAAGGAGTTTGAGATCATGTTGAGTAGTTTTTATTAAATGATGAATTGAAATTGATGTATTTGATGAGGTATTGCACTGGAATTGCTGCAAGAGCTATACAGTGCTGTAAGCTCATGCCCCCTAATGAGGGATACGCTGAGGCTATGAGCATATTACGTCAAAGGTTTGGAAGACCTTCAGTGATTGTAAGGAACGTAGACGAAGCTGTCAAAGGTAACGTCAGTCAACTTCGAGATGACTCCAAGGCACTCACTGAGTTTATAGATAAACTTATGACTTATATGAATACCTTGATTTCTATGAATTGCATGAATCACCTCAACTCGAGTTTTATACTAGAAGTAATAGCAAGACGCCTACCTACTCGACTGCAAAGGAAGTGGGTGAAGATAAGCTCCCGTATGGAGGATGAGGGTATTGAGCCAAAATTTGATGATATCCTGAAACTAGTAAAAGATAGTGTCAATCAATCTATGAGCAAGTTTGCATTATATTGAATCTCACCCCTAGAATAGAGCAGTCTGAGGGTAAAATGCAATCGTTGATGACGAAAGGGCCTCAGAGAGGTGGATATCGAGAAGGCTCTATGATGTCTAGTAATGCACATAGACCTAGTGAGTGTAACAGGTTTCGTAGTACATCCTCAACAGATAAGTTACAAGATGCAAGACAAACACGGTTGTGTTTTACACGTTTGCAAGAGGTGCATACAAAGGTGAACTGTGAACCAGTGAGCAAGTTCAGTGATAAGCTAAATGTAAACTCCAGGCCTTACTCCGAATTGTGTGACGATAACGGTGCGGTCAAGAAGTCTGTAGTTGCAACTGGTAAGCCATTGTTGAATAGAGTGTCACAGAATTGAGTTATTGCTTCAGAGTGCAGTTCTGACTCCACAAGTTTACAAAGTATAACTAGTCAGAGTGAAGTATAAAACCCTTAATGATTTGCGAGGAGGAATCAAAATTGTCTACTTCTGTTATTAAAGAGTTTGAAAATGATAAAGTTGACGGCAAAGTGAATATTCGTGATAATGATCATGATACTTCCCAGTTGTCCTTGGTTGATCATGATGAGATGATAGATATGCCTACTACTGCTGAATTGAACAAAAGTTCTGTACAACTTGAACGTGAAGCGTAAATAAATGCAGATACAGTTGCAGAAGGCATGCATACTTGTCAGACCGTCAGTGTGAGTGATCAGCATGTAGCCCATCTATCATCAGATGCTAGTGCTAAACCTGAGCTGATAGTAAAAGACAGCAGTGGTGGTGGTCTTGCAGGTAGACAAATTTCTGAAAGTCGAGCAACAACAGCTTTTGATCCACCGCTAACTTCATCAACTGATATCAATCAGTCGTCGTTGGTGCTGTCACCCACAATGAAACAGACACCCATCAACTCAAGTATCTTCTGCAATTACTATGCTAGTATCAGTTCGTTTGAAAGGACGAATATCAATGGTCAGTTTAGTGTGGATAAGCCAAGTGTAAACGAGAGAATAATTGTTAAATTGACTTGCACGAATAAAGGCATTTCTAGTTTCAAGTTACTATTTGAATGTTATTATCTTTGGTGTAAATTACTCTGTTTCTATACTTGGTTGACTAGATACTTCGTGTGTTTGTTCGTCATCTATGTTCTACGATACAATGATATGAGCGTGTTACCGTTCAGATTTGAAGATATAGCTGACAGGAGGAGGTCAGCAAATGAACTCTGCGACGAATTTCCAACCTAGAGCGTCAACCTGAGAAGGGTTGTAGGCGTACTGCTGTAAGTCCTACAGTTCTTCAAGAGTAGCTTTTCATGCCAGAATCCACAACATTTGATGTAGTGATTGTACATATGTTTGTGTTAAATAATTGTGTGAGTTCCAATTATCGTAATTGTTGGTTAATCTTGTTTGTGTCCGGACATTCCACAAATTACAATCGTCAACCTGAGAAGGGTTGTAGGCGTACTGGTGTAAGTCCTGCAATTCTTCAAAGGAATTCCACCAAGACATGATCCGCGAGGTTGTTTGTACTGTTTGTATATATGTGTGGTGTATCCTATCAATTGGTGTTTTTTGGATTCATTGTGTTTACTTGTTGTTTTCGTATCTTGTTGTTATTGCGTAATTTTGTTAAAATTTTCGTCGTGATTACTTCTGAAGTTGTTTCGAGTCTTCTACATCCGTGAATGAATTGATTGATGTTAGAGACAGCAGATGGGTCGTATACGCCGGGGAGGCTATTGCTGAGAATGAAGTGCATACGGAGATAATTGTTAGGTGTGGTCCCACACGCCGGGGAGAAAGAGTGTAAACGACTGAGGCTCGCATGCGTCACCGCTACTAGAACTGAGGCAAAATGAGTGACAAGCGATTTCAGTGGTAATTGGTAGTGAGTAGATAAGAGGATGTGCGTAGAGTATCGTGAGGTGCGGATGTGGTCACGTTGAATTCTGCAAGAGTCATTCTAGCAAGTGGTGATTGTGTTACAAGATGTCAAGAGGACACCTTTAAATGGAAGGCGAAGGTTGTCATTGATGTGTGAGATTGTGCTGTGGGTATGCTTGTGGTGTGTTGGCTTTTCTGTTTGTTTTCCATTTCAGTGCTGTCCGAGTGACCCAGGTTCTCGCAATGGCATCCAAGTCAACGTGTATTGGTAGTGATGGAAAAAAGGAATAGATCCCTTTTGCCGGGGAGTGTCAATGTAGTTGAAGATTGAACGATCAATTCTTGGTTGTTTGCTCAAAACCAACTTTCCCGATTTTCGCGGAGGCATCAATACGACAGTCATCGTCTCATCGGTCGCTGTTCAGAAAGAAGTCAGTAGACAACCGTCAGAAGTAATATTGTGATTTATTATTGTAATATTTGTTCACAGACCTTAGTGGAATTATTTTTTACATGTCGGTGTTACAACAAAGAATTCTCGAGCGGCCGATCGGTGTTTTGGTTTTGGCGTCCGTTATTACTAAGCGTTTCTGAAAAACTTCAAGGAACAGCGTGAGCCCGAGCGTAGCAAGAGCTGGGCATTGATGGTTTAAGAGACGTGGCTGACAGCCCTACTACCGAATGATCGACAGAAAACTTTTCATATAGCGGAAAAGACACGAAAGTAATATTTAACTGCTGCAACAGTGAAAATAACAAATTCTGTCCTTCAAAATACAGGATATTTGTATCGATAACACGTCCACGGAAATTTTCAAACCAGAAGTAAATGACCAGTATCTGATTCATTGTTTGACAATGAAGATCTCCCGAACAATCTGTAAATTAAAAACTGTTCACTCATGTCATCTTCCCGGTGTGTGCATAATTTTAGCTTACTCCATGCACTTAGTATCAGTGGAGGAAAAATTGTGATATTAATATTCATACATTATTGTTTACTTCGAAGAAATTGTTTAACAATGTTTTCTTGAGCATCACACACATATAGAAGAACATTACTAGAAAAGCACGCCCTTACAGCCTGTAACTGTACAGCGAATATCTATGATTAAATGAATTGTAAGTTTAACTTTGATAGGGATGCGGGTTAAACGAGTGACTACATTGCAAACCCCCGCTAACTGCGGAATCGTAGTCCATTTCTATGGTGC